AGCACAAGGTGGGTGTTTCTAATATAGTGGCCAGTTAGTGGAAGCACAAGGTGGGTGTTTCTAATATAGTGGCCAGTTAGTGGAAGCACAAGGTTGGTGTTTCTAATAAAGTGGCCAGTTAGTGGAAGCACAGGGTGGATGTTCCTAATCAAGTGGCCACTTAGTGGAAGCACAAGGTAGGTGTTTCTAATAAAGTGGCCAGTTAGTGGAAGCACAAGGTGGGTGTTTCTAATAAAGTGGGCAGTTAGTGGAAGCACAAGGTGGGTGTTTCTAATATAGTGGCCAGTTAGTGGAAGCACAAGGTGCGTGTTTCTAATATAGTGGCCAGTTAGTGGAAGCACAAGGTGGGTGTTTCTAATAAAGTGGTCAGTTAGTGGAAGCGCAAGGTGCGTGTTTCTAATATAGTGGCCAGTTAGTGAAAGCACAAGGTGGGTGTTTCTAATAAAGTGGCCAGTTAGTGGAAGCACAAGGTGGGTGTTTCTAATATAGTGGCCAGTTAGTGGAAGCACAAGGTGCGTGTTTCTAATATAGTGGCCAGTTAGTGGAAGCACAAGGTGGGTGTTTCTAATAAAGTGGCCAGTTAGTGGACGAACAAGGTAGGTGTTTCTAATAAAGTGGGCAGTTAGTGGAAGCACAAGGTGGGTGTTTCTGATAAAGTGGTCAGTTAGTGGAAACGCAAGGTGGGTGTTTCTAATAAAGTGGCCAGTTTGTGGAAGCACAAGGTGTGTGTTTCTAATAAAGTGGCCGATTAGTGGAAGTAGATCTTGTCTAGCTGCTCCTCTAAGGTGACGTGTGCATTTTATTTGTAAGTAAAGACGACCATGGCGTATTTGAATCACGCTCCGCTTCCCCAGAGAGAAGAACCTGGAAATTGAGGTGAGCACAGCTGTAGTGTCACTTTGTTTGTTTACAGATGCCCTCTGGTTCTGCGCCAGCTCGTATGTGGCCCTGCTGTCTCAGAAAAGGCACGCACATATGTACTTACGGGTCCAGCTTTAAATGAACAAAAAACTTTCCGATCTTATTTGTGTCGCTGGAGCTACGAGGCTGATTAGAAACTACTGTACAACATGTGCTTAGAGAGGAGTGTGATGTTAGCACTGCTACTGCTGCTGTGTTCAGCTATGCTAATGTCCTTCAGTCCATGTTTATAGATAACAGTGAGTCACACAGAGTCAGAAACCACAGAACCAGGTCCATCAGAGAGTCCGTGTGCAGTTAGCACTGTGCTAATTGGTGAGCTGTAGGCTTCCACTATGTGTTAGCTACATTAGCCTCGTAGCATCAGTGCTAAAGCTACCGAATCAAACTTCAGACACCAAACACGCCTTAGCTGATCAACTACATGTGAAGTAATGAGGGCAAAACTGGGGGAATCAGGCCTTTTACCCAGTTATCTCACAGTTCTCTGCAGATAAACAGAGAGCAGAGCGGCGGCTCAAACAGACAGCGTCCTCATTAGGAGGAGGATGCTGTGGGGATGAAGGCCACAGTCCGGCTGACCCCGCGGCGCTGTGGAGGTCTGACTCAGTCAGGAGTCAAGAAGAGCTTTATTGTCATTCTGTCCATCTACAGCAAACAGGGGAACAACAATAATGTTCCTCCAGGGCCTCAAACTACAGTACAGGACAGCTGGAGGGAAAATCCACCCATACTTTCAAAATTCACCCATATTTCAGTGTGTGGGATGTAATCAGAGTGGTTTGGTGTGAAATGGTTCAGATGTCTTTACAGTGGTGGTGATAGGAACCAGGGGTCGCCATGACTACAACACAAATATAGACATTTTATTTACTATCCAGAACCACCAGTGAACCTACACGAGTCTTCTGAGTTTATATGGAATGTTGATGATGGAAAATAGTGGAAAATCTGAAATAATAAGTTTTCTTTGGGGACTATTTTGCCTCACAGTGCCCTGCATGTATCCCTCCACCATGAATGGAGTTTAAGTTCTCTAAACTATCATAAAACAGTGTCTCAGTCATCAGGCAGTTATATTATTACACCATTAAACAATATTATTTACAGTAATTATACTTACTGACACGTGACACCTCCAACACACCACACACACACACACACACACACACACACACACACTCACACACACACTCACACACATACACACACACACACACACACTCTCTCTCTCCCTTTCTTTCCCTCCATCTCTCTCTCTCTCCCTTCCTTTCCCCCTCTCTCTCTTTCTCTCTCTCTCTTTCCCTCCCTGTCTCTCTCTATCCCTCTTTCCCTCCCTCTCTCTCTTTCTCTCTCTCTCTCTTTCCATCCCTCTCTTTTTCTCTATCACTCTCTTTCCCTCCTCGCTCTCGCTCCCTTTATTTCACTCCCTCCCTCTCTCTCTTTCTCTCTCTCCCTCTCTTTCCATCCCTCTCTCTCTTTCTCTCTCTCTCTTTCTTTCTCTCTGTACCTCTCTCTATCTACATTTCTACATTCCTATATCTATCTTTTCTCTTTTCTTTCTCTCTTATTCTCTCTCTCTCTTTCCCTCTCCCTCTCTTTCCCTCGTTCCCTCCCACCCCCTCTCTCTCTCTCTCCCTCTCTCTCTTTCCCTCTCTCTCTCCCTCTCTCTCTCCCCCTCTCTCTCTCTCTCTGTCTCTCTCTCTGTCTAATACAGTAAGAGTGTTTGTGCTGTAAGGATCTGCCGGAGCTCATTCGCTCTAATTACTGTCGGTCGCTCTGCTGACGGCCTGGCGCTCCTGGAGCGTCTGTCAGGCTGACAAACGACGTTCCGCTCACTGAGGACGAAGGAGAACCTCAAACAACCAGCATTCGGTCACGCTACACTTTCAGCGTTCAGCCCACTGCGCCAGCTCAGCGCTGAGCCGAGACGGTGGAGCTCGGCCTTCAGTTCAGCTCAGAAACATCAAGACCAGCACAAACATTCCTGCTAGAGGTTTATCACCTACGGGGTTTATCATACTGTGTTAGTGGTGATTCACATTACGCTTTGTGGCCGTTCTAGATTCAACACGGATATTTGAGGCTTATAAAGTCATTCCATATGTTTTATCTGAAGCTTGCAAGAGATATTAAGATACATCTGGGCTTGTATGCATCAGTTTAACAGTGACACTCAGATAAACAATATTTATATGATTTAGTAGATCAACTGAATCTCTGATTGGTGCAGTGAAAGGTTAAATTATTCATTATTTTTTTGTTACAAATTAATTATTTTTTTCTATTTTAAAGTTTTTGGGTATTTTTTTACCCCAATTCCATTATTAAAATGTATTTATTTATTTATTTGCTTTTTTTATTTGAAAAAAATAACCAATTGCTTTATTTTGTGTTCAGTCTGTTCACTCTCTTTAATGTTTTCCTTGTAAACTGGAAGGGAGTAAACCAAAATAGCAAATTATTATTATTATTGTTATTGTTATTATTATTATTAAATTTAAATAAAAACTGGAACGCCCATCAGTGTATTGCAGAAATGAGATAAAATGGCAAAACACTATATTTTTAAAATGCTTAAATCATCATGGATTAAATTGTTCATAATAACTACATATTATAATTTATGACATAAATGCATCTTTCATTCAACATAATGTATATTTGATGCTTTAAATGACGCCTTTGAGCTTCTGTAACATAGAAAACCGGAACAAATATGCTGTTCTCTTAGTCTCCCATGCACTGAAAAGGGACGCAAGTGCAGTAAATCTACTACTTAGGCTGAATCATTGGCAGTGCGCTATGTAGGCACTATGTAGGCAGTGCACTATGTAGGCACTATGTAGGTCATGACATACAGCCTCTATGCTCAAATAGTGGCTTATAAAAAGCTAAATCTAACTTTTAGTGGACTATTTGGGTGTACAAGCAAAAGTTTCATTACTTTTGTAGTGCACTATGTAGGGAGCAGGGAGCTATTTGAGATGTGGCCCTAGTCAGGAGCTGGCGGCTTCAGTATACAGTACAACGCTGCCACCTTGTGGCTGTACAAGGCAATGAAAATATGATTTGATTCTCAAATTACTGTGAAGCTTTCATTAATCGAATTATAGAAAAATGTGGTTAACTTACTCTTTGCTGGCATTGCCATATAATGATTGGTTGATTTATTGATTGATTGATTTGGCTGCACATTATTATGAATCATCTAAGTGGCTCTTTATCAGCTTGTGAAAGTTTTTGGAGTATTTATGTGCTGTCTTTTCTCCTGATTGAACTTTGAAAGAAAGTCTACTCCTACTACAAAATTGAATTTGCTAATTAATCGATTTATTTTAGTGTCAAGCTGAGAAAAAAACAGACCTAACGGGACACGTTCAGACTTGTTTGCGCTTCGTCCAACTCTTTTAAATATTCATGAGAAGGGGGAGCGACTGTAAAGCCACTTTTAAAGTTCTACTGATTATTTAAATATTCATGAGATGCTGCACCCACTCTAAACTAGAATTTATATTATAAAAGGTGTGTCTTCGTTAGCCAATCTAAAACTTCTCATATGAATATTCATGAGAATGCGTGTTACGTAGCAGCCGGCTGACGACATGAATATTCATATCTAAGCTTGTCAACGTAGAGCAGCGTAAAGTTTTATAAAACAAAAATATTCATGAGAAGGCGTGTTTACCCATATTAATATTAATCCTCAGATCAGAGAAGTGTATGTCTTGCGAAGTGCACGGTACGTTAAAAAGACCAAAAAACAAAATATGTTCTCTTTTTAATAGCCTTTTTTTATTTTATTGTTGACAAACTGCATAAACTTCCGTCACATATTTAAACAACCAAAAACCAACAAACCTAAAGCTTTTAGCCGAGAAACAACGGGACTGAAGTTGGCGTTTCAGTCGAATTTTCCGTTCCACCTTAAATGGTGCAGCAGTTACAGTCTGGCGCCTGAATGGTGCAGATACATTCTGCTGCACCATTTAAGGTGGAACGGAAAATTCGACTGAGTAGCCAACTTCAGCTTTTAGCCCGAAAACTCCACCTTTCCTGACCGCTTTTCGTGTTTTCCCCCTCAAGGCCGGCTCAGATGGCGACCACGGCGGCGGCGGAGCCCGGATTAACCCCGCTGGAGACTCCGGTTCCCGCTTGCATGTTCGCTCCGGAGCCGGGGTATGGGTCGGAGCCATGCGGCGCGGGACGCGACCAGGAGGGCGAAAGTGTGCTAGGAGAGTCCGAGGCTCAGCCGGGCCTCAGCAGCAAGGTGGCTAATGCAGGCCTCGGCAGCTTCTGTAGAGTTATTTATTTACAATATTACACATATTTAAAGGAAGAAAGCGACGCATAGCGCCTTAAACCTGCTTAAAATCACCTCATATTTTAATTTTATGGTTCTGAATTTATTCAGAGCTGTTTGGCACAGATTTAAAACTTTGAGTTGTGCTTTTATTATAGATCATAGATTTAAAGTTCTGTATTTTAAACATCAGCTGCTCGTCAAAAAGTGAGATTATAGATTTACAATTTTAAACAAGCTTTTAAAATATGTAGAATCCTTAAAATGGAAGATTTAGGTCCTCATCTGTGGTGAATTTAATTTTTCAAATTTATTTAATATGGATTAAAAATTACAGGATGCTTATTTTTCAAAATTCTGTATAATTAAGTGGTTAAGATGTAAACAGAGATGTTCAGAGTGATTTGGTGTGAAATGCTCTGTTATAGAGAAACTTACCGAGTTGTTCACAGTGGTGGTGATAGGAACCAGACGTCTGAAGTATTTAAAGAGGAAATTCCAGCGCGCACATATCAGTGTATGTGAACTTATTGTAATTTTCCTTTTAATATTTGCTTTTGAAATAGTACTGCATGCAGTACCATCTAGCAATAGCACACTGAAGGGAAATTCCACCGATTTTTTAAAAGAATTCTGCATGGATCGATTTTAATTAGGGTTATAAGATATCGACCTAAAATGCGACATTCAGTAAAGCTGTTGGATGTCATGATTATGACATGAGAAGCGATAAATTATTACTACAGAATTATGTCGCTGCGTGTATGAAGTAATTCGATCTGTCATCGCAGGTCTGACTGTGTGTTTATTGCATTAACTCATATCACGATAATGATAAAAACATGATTTAGCGTGCAGCTCTAATTTTCATGGATTTTAAATATACATTTCAGACAAAAACCTTCTCAAAACTATCATAAAACAGTGTCTCAGTCATCAGGCAGTGAATTCATAACCATTTCATGTAGGAGCTTTCTGTGAGGGAACTTTTAGAGGTGGACGTCTGGTTCCTATCACTGTATCAGTATTAGGACTCCTGTGCTGTGTTTGTGTGTCCAGCTGGCTCTGGTGAGCCCGACGGGGGAGCAGTATGACTGTTTGCTGAAGGAGCTTCGGGCCAGGACGGAGGAAGGTTCAGGAGAAACCATCTACGTGGTGGGAGCTGGATCGGGTGAGGAACCTGCCTGTATTGCTGATCTACAGAGGTGCACGATATATCAGGAGTCGATATATTGCACAATAAATGGGAAAATTCATTTATTATTATTGGGTTGATACTGCATTTAAAGCATTATTACACGAGAATTGGTATTTTTTGCTCTTGGGCACCCCTGCAGTTGTGGAGCATATTTCACTTTTATGCCACTGTTGTAAATACAGCTCATGCTGTGAGCGCCCCCTCACGGACAGCTGTACACGTGCATTTGTTGCCGAGCTGAAGGATACAGAATGTTTGCTTGTGTAAACAACCGAAAATCACCAGTGTAATGTGTAGCGTCCATTTGCCGGGACTGTGTATCCACAGTCCAGTAGTATCCAATTGCAGACCCTGCACTATCAGCTCCGCACAAGTGCGCCTCTAGTGGTTCATTATAGAATTGCAGTCACTCTTTCCTGCCTTTACGAGAGAATTTTAAGTGTCTACCGTGTCTAGTAATGTTGCTTTAAAGTGCAAGTGAGGCGATAATTTAGACGAGGAGGAACTTGTTAACCTGTCGTGTCCGTTCAAAAACCCCAGGTGAACACTGAGGTTGTGAAATGGGTGTTGATTAGCTTTTGGCCTATTTTACTTTTGTTTTGAGTCCATACATTCTTAAAAAGGATGGATGAAGGTTCTTCAAGGGTTGTTTAGTATAGAAAATGGTTCTGTTTAGAACTATGGGTTCCACGTAGAAATATTCATGCTTGGTGAAATGGTGGTTAAGATTGATATCTGAGGGCTTCGTAAATATTGTGCAGTAACAGAGCTGGTTCTCTGATAAAAGGCGTCTGTACGTCTCTCGCCCTTCTCAGGGTTACAAACGACAAGACTCTTCACCTTCATGTGACATCATATCCGGGATGAGAGCGCGGTACTGAGAGCGCGGTACTGAGAGCGCGGTACTGAGAGCGCGGTACTGAGAGCGCGGTACTGAGAGCGCGGTACTGAGAACGCGGTACTGCGGCTCTGTCCTTTTATCTCCTTTAGCTGTCGCCAGCGAGTGAAAGCCAGTCCGTGATTTACTCTTGTCTGTTCTTCGCTTCCTCCAACAGCGTCTTCTCCGGTCTCTCTGCAGCCTCTGCCACGATGTCCATTAGGGCTGCAACAGCGACTAACTTGATAGTCGAATAATCTATCGATTACTGAAACAAATAATCGGATCATGAATCACTCAGTCACCAAATAACTCTTCTGTAGATATCAGCTCTTTAATTGACCTTGAGGTTGTTTTATGTGTTCACTGTTTTGATGAACTTTCCTGCTAATACAAAAGATAAAACAACAAAATCTTTTCCTGTCAAAATTTAAAACCAAGGATGTGCAAAGTAGCAGCGATAAAATATAACAAAGCTAAACCTGTTTTCCTTTGAGTAAGTAATAAAAAAAAACCAGTCTAAATTAAAACGTTAAATATAAATCATTGCAGTCTGTGCTCTGTGCATTCTGCTGTCTGTCTACACTCTGCTTTAACTAAATTGTACAATAACAGTCTTTGGTGAAACAGAGGAAAGTCAGCATCTCTCTGCACCTGTGAGAGTCTCGCTCTCCTCAGAGAGCAGATATTCCCCACTGCAGAGGAGATGCGCTCTGATAGAGCTGATGAGAATGTGGCGAATGTTTGTGGCGAACTTCTCTACGCAGTTAAATTAACGATTTTGTGTAAACATTTCATTTCATCGGTAACCCTTCATCCAGCTACCCTGTGTGTTTGCGAAGAACTACGTCTTGAAACTGTTTGCGAGTGGTGCTACACGTTCGCGGAGAACAGAAAAGTGTTTGGAAACGCACTCTGTGTTCGCCGAATTTGAACACACCAGCGTTAAGACAACGATGCAGTGTTGAACGTTATCTGTAAAGTGAACAGAGTCGCTGTGAATAATAGTTACTTGCTTCTTCATTCGAGCTCCTTTCATGATACCAGAGTACCTATATTTAAAACAAAAGATGTTACAGCTCAACTCAGAACATGAAGTAGGACGGCTTTTAACATTAACATTAGCATTAGCTAACTAGCTCGCTAGCACAGCTATCGCCGCGTCCCAAACCACACACTTCTGTACTTCACATACTACACTAATGAGTGCACTTCTAATGGTATTTGCTCTATTTTTACACACTATTTAGTGAGCTAGTATGCGGTTTGGGACGTGGCGTATCTTACAGATAATGAGGCTTCTTCGCCCAGTGAGGCGACGAGTTTCCTCCTCACATGCTCCATCATGGAGGATGAGCTCCCATAGCCAGCTGAGGTCAGCTTTACAAACAACCTCGCGCTTTGGTCAACTCTCCAGTGAACAGCAATATCAGAACGTTCCTAGTGAGCGCGAGAAAGACACGTAATGACGTCACCAACTAATCGATTATAGAATTAGTTGCCAACTAATTTGGTCATTGATTTTAGTCGACTAACTCAATTAATCGTTGCGCCCCTAATGTCCATGCTGGGAATACAGAGCTGCTTCTTATAGTTGTTGGTGTGACGTGGTGCTGTAAAGTGTTACGCAGTTCTGGTGAGAGGTTCTTGTGCTGCTCCTCCAAAGTTACATAGCGCTATAGCAGGAGTTCCGGCTGGAGTGACAACAACAGAGATGCCATCCTCACTGTTAAGTCAGTGTAGCATTAGAATGATTTAGAAACTGTGACATGATGTTGCTGTAAAGACAATAATTACATCCTCTCTCTCTCTCTCTCTCTCTCTCTCTCAGACGGGGGTGATTATGGTCTGGATGAGAAGGACATGGCTGCGTCCGTGGCGACGGTGCAGTCTCTGTGTGAGCAGATTGACGCTGATCTGGTCCTGCTGAGAGAGAGGAGAGAGAGCGGCGGGCGAGTGAGAGATTACCTCATCCGCCGCAGGGTCCCCGAGAACGACTTCATGGAAGTCAGGTAGAGCGAGAGAGAGCGAGTAAGAGAAAATGAGAGATTGTTTTCTGTTCACTCTTTCAGGTGTTGTGAGCGTCCTCTCGCTTTTGTCTCGCCCGGTGTCTCCGCTCGGCGCTGGCGGACGTTTCTTGTTTGTTGTAATGTATCACAGAAGCTCACGAGGAGAATAAAATACGGACGAATGCTCTTTATGCTCTTGTCACTTTCAGAAGGCAGCAGTTTTTCACACAAGTCAGAAAGTGAGCTCACTCAGTCTCGACTAGGGCTGGGCGATAAAATGTTAACGATGATTATCGCGATATAACTTTTCCTTGATAGAGCGATAAGAAATGTTCGATAAATGTTCGATATAATACACCATTCTCACACTTCCACGTTGCAGCGCAAGCCCTGGTGGCGTTTTCTACTGCAAGGAAAGCGACACTACTCTGCTGTCGCCAGGAGAGGGCGCACTTCTGAGTTTTTCTACATGGTTAGAGAGGGAGGGGGCGATGAGTAAAATGAGTTATTAGCAACGGCTGAAACGCGGAGTTATACATTCCCTGTTTGAGTGGAGCGACCGGCGATCTGCTCTCCTGTGACCGAGTCTGAGTGACGAGGTCAGTGGTGTAACTGTACTGTCCTACAGTGAACTCACCTCTTTACTAACATCCCAACCAGCTTTAGCAGCGTTAAATCACGTCTGCTCCTCACAACTACAGCACCGTTACAGCGCTCAGTCTGATTTTAGTATTAGTGATTCCCAAGCAACGAAAGTGAAAGAAAGCAGTGGTTCGTGTAAATTACAGCCCTGATTTAAACGACAGTAACCTGAGGAAGCTGTGAGGCGTTGGAGAGCAGGAGAGCGCTGTCTTTCCAGACTAGCTATTTTTAGCAGCTGGCTAACTTGAAGCAGCTCCGTCAGACGCACAACACGGCTAATTGATGATACTGTAGATCAAACAAGACACAAAAGCACCACTTTCAGTTTAAACGTTCCTAAAAGGAGGACTCCGTTTGTCTGGTGTTGATATATTGAGGTTCACCCCTCAAAATACTAGGATAGAGTAGAGAACCCCAGCCGTCTCTACCTGGTGTCTGAATACTGTGATGTGCTCTGTTGTGGATGTGGTGGGAGTGACCGCAGTGAGGCGGTGTGATCCATCACTGACCTACTGAGCCAGCTAATGTCTGCTGTTCGTACTAAGTTGACGTTGTTGAGAAACTAAACAGTTTAGCTCTGTTGTTGGCCACTTGTTTAGCGTTTGTAGCGGGGTAGCCGAGCGCTCGACACCAGACAGCTAAAAATAATGTTTTCTTTCTTAAATTTTGACTATTACAAAAACTGCGGCTGTGCTTTTCCAGCTGGTAAAAACAGCTCACCAGACACTCCCTCCCACTCTCCCATGACAGATTGGTGAAATGTTCCACTGCTTGGTGAGTGTTTGTTGTGTTCAGACCATAAAGGATGGTTTAAAACAGCGATTAACCACCCAGGAGCCAAAAATCAGCCTTCAAACTAGAAAGAAATCATGATTTGACATTTTATCGCGATGCGTATCGATATCGAACGATATGATTTTTGTTTATCGTGATAACATTTTTGGCCATATCGCCCAGCTCTAGTCTCGACCTGAGGATCTAAATTATGTCTTCCTGCTCAAACAGTGCAAACTATATCTACCATAAACCCAATAGGCGCTTTCGCTCATTTGCATAAAGTTGAAATCTGCTCAACGTTTCCGCCACAGATTTCGCCGTAACACAAACCATCGTGCATCGTGCAATGAGAAAGATCTCTTCAGTGAAAATGAGTGAACGCATAGCATCAGCTGAGCTGGTGTAACCAGGAAAGGCTTGAACTTTTAAGAGCTGCTGCTTCAGTACTCCAGGTGGCGCTGTGTGTCTTTTACTCTCTAGACAGTGAAGGAGAAATCTAGCTGTTCACGCTCAGCAGCACAGTTAGCCAGTGTTAGCTGTTTTCAGTTAGCAGAGTTAGCTAATTTGAACTATTTTCAGTTAGCGGAGTTAGCCAGAGTTAGCTGTTTTCAGTTAGCTGGGTTAGCCAGTGTTAGCTGTTTTCAGTTAGCGGAGTTAGCCAGTGTTAGCTGTTTTCAGTTAGCGGAGTTAGCCAGAGTTAGCTGTTTTCAGTTAGCAGAGTTAGCCAGTGTTAGCTGTTTTCAGTTAGCAGAGTTAGCCAGAGTTAGCTGTTTTCAGTTAGCGGAGTTAGCCAGAGTTAGCTGTTTTCAGTTAGCAGAGTTAGCCAGTGTTAGCTGTTTTCAGTTAGCAGAGTTAGCCAGTGTTAGCTGTTTTCAGTTAGCGGAGTTAGCCAGTGTTAGCTGTTTTCAGTTAGCGGAGTTAGCCAGTGTTAGCTGTTTTCAGTTAGCAGAGTTAGCCAGTGTTAGCTGTTTTCAGTTAGCGGAGTTAGCCAGTGTTAGCTGTTTTCAGTTTGTGGAGTTAGCCAGTGTTAGCTGTTTTCAGTTAGCGGAGTTAGCCAGAGTTAGCTGTTTTCAGTTAGCGGAGTTAGCCAGTGTTAGCTGTTTTCAGTTAGCAGAGTTAGCCAGAGTTAGCTGTTTTCAGTTAGCGAAGTTAGCCAGAGTTGGCTGTTTTCAGTTAGCGGAGTTAGCCAGAGTTGGCTGTTTTCAGTTAGCGGAGTTAGCTAATTTGAACTATTTTCAGTTAGCGGAGTTAGCCAGAGTTAGCTGTTTTCAGTTAGCTGGGTTAGCCAGAGTTAGCTGTTTTCAGTTAGCTGGGTTAGCCAGAGTTAGCTGTTTTCAGTTAGCGGAGTTAGCTAATTTGAACTATTTTCAGTTAGCGGAGTTAGCCAGAGTTAGCTGTTTTCAGTTAGCGGAGTTAGCCAGAGTTAGCTGTTTTCAATTAGCGGAGTTAGCTAATTTGAACTATTTTCAGTTAGCGGAGTTAGCCAGAGTTAGCTGTTTTCAGTTAGCGGAGTTAGCCAGTGTTAGCTGTTTTCGGTTAGCTGAGTTAGCCAGAGTTAGCTGTTTTCAGTTAGCTGAGTTAGCCTTTGTTATGTGTATGTAACTGTGAAAGATGCAATCGTAAATGTGTTTGTATGAAGTGCCGTTAAACTTAAATGTGATCGTTATTAATAATTATTGATAATTAAAGATGTGTAAATACAGCGATGAGTGGTTCGGCCGTGTTGCTCAGCTCTGCGTGAGCGTGATTGTTCTGTGTTGGTATCAGGGTGGCGGTGGTGGGGAACGTTGACGCGGGGAAGTCCACCCTGCTGGGCGTGTTGACCCACGGCGAGCTGGATAACGGCCGCGGCTTCGCTCGGCAGAAACTGTTCCGTCATAAACACGAGCTGGAGAGCGGACGCACCAGCAGCGTGGGGAACGACATCCTGGGCTTTGACCAGCAGGGGGCGGTGGTGAACCAGCCCGACAGCCACGGGGGCGGCCTCGACTGGACGCGCATCTGCCAGAGGTCATCGAAGGTCATCACCTTCATCGACCTGGCCGGACACGAGAAGTACCTGAAGACCACCGTGTTCGGAATGACCGGACACCTGCCGGACTTCTGCATGCTGATGGTCAGTTTATGTTTTTGTCACTGAAACACAGTCAGGAGTGCAGAATCGATTCTCAGTTTTATTACGTAATCAGATCAGTTCTGTTTAAACAATTAGTGTAAATCAAATTAATCACAGAATTATGAATCATAAAATCTTATTATCTTGAAGTCTGATTTAAAGTAATAGTTTGACCAAAAATTCAACTCTTTTACCTTTTCTTCTCTTCTTGTCTCTAATCTTCTCTTGTCTGTTCATCTCTACTCTTCTTCTTCTCTCTCTCTCTCTCTCTCTCTCTCTCTCTGTAGGTGGGCAGTAATGCAGGTATCATAGGGATGACGAAGGAGCACCTGGGTTTGGCTCTGGCCCTCAACGTCCCTGTGTTTGTGGTCGTCACTAAAATAGACATGTGTCCAGCAAACATCTTACAAGGTGCAGAATTTAAACAGCACACATCACAGTTACACAGATCACAGAGATCACAATTAAACAGATCACACGAATCACAGTTACACAGATCACAGTTACACAGATCACACGAATCACAGTTACACAGATCACAATTACACAGATCACACGAATCACAGTTACACAGATCACAGTTACACAGATCACAGAGATCACAATTATACAGATCACATGAATCAGTTAAACAGATCACACAAATCACAGTTAAACAGATCACACAAATCACAGTTACACAGATCACACGAATCACAGTTACACAGATCACATGAATCACAGTTACACAGATCACAGAGATCACAATTATACAGATCACATGAATCAGTTAAACAGATCACACAAATCACAGTTACACAGATCACACGAATCACAGTTACACAGATCACAGAGATCACAATTAAACAGATCATACAGATCACACAGATCACAGTTACACAGATCACAGTTACACAGATCACAGTTACACAGATCACAATTAAACAGATCACACAAATCACAGTTACACAGATCACAGTTACACAGATCACACAGATCACAATTACACAGATCACACGAATCAGTTATACAGATCACACGAATCAGTTATACAGATCACACAGATCACAATTAAACAGATCACACAAATCAGTTACACAGATCACACAAATCACAATTACACAGATCACACGAATCAGTTATACAGATCACACAGATCACAATTACACAGATCACACAAATCACAGTTACACAGATCACAATTAAACAGATCACACAAATCACAGTTACACAGATCACAGTTACACAGATCACACAGATCAATTACACAGATCACACAGATCACAGTTACACAGATCACAATTAAACAGATCACACACATCACAGTTACACAGATCATACAGATCACAGTTACACAGATCACACGAATCACAGTTACACAGATCACATGAATCACAGTTACACAGATCACAGTTACACAGATCACACGGATCACAGTTACACAGATCACAGTTACACAGATCACACAGATCACAGTTACACAGATCACAGTTACACAGATCACAATTACATAGATCACACAGATTACTCAGATCACAAAGATCATAGTTACACAGATCACACAGATCACAATTATACAGATCACACATCACAGTTACAGATCACATAGATCAGAATCATATAGATCACACGGATCACACATCACAGATCGCACAGATCACAATCATGTAGATCACACTGATCACAATCACACATCACTCAGATCACAAAGATCACAGTTACCCAGATCACAGATCACACAGATGAGTTACACAGATTACAGTTACACATCACACAGATCACACAGACCACAGGTCACAGTTACACAGACCACAGGTCACAGTTACACAGATCGCAGTTAGACAGATCACTGATCACACAGATAACAACTACACTGATCACACAATTCACTTTTACGCAGACCACAGTTACATAGATCTCACAGATCAGTTACACAGATCACAATAACACAGATCACACAGTTCACAGATCACAGTTACACAGACTCATAAACTGTGATACTGTACTTGCTAATCTGTGCACATTCCTGTGTGTTGTAGAGACTCTGAAGCTGTTGCAGAGGTTACTGAAGTCGCCCGGCTGCAGAAAAATCCCAGTTCTAGTGCAAAACAAAGACGATGTCATCGTCACCGCTTCCAACTTCAGCTCAGAAAGGTAACACGCTCTCTTCATCGCATTGCTTCTTTATTAACCTTCAAAGCCAAAGAATCAAATCATGCAGCCAGCAGTTTAAGAGCAGTGTTTTTCAGCCAGTGCCTGCATGGACGAGCTCGGGAATACTCAGACAAACCGTTCTCTGGACTCGAGCTCATCTGAAATGGGCTGATGCTCAGTAGAGACGTGTGTTGTGGTCTGATCAGTCAAAACTTTCAGATTGTTTATGGAAATAACGGACGTTGTCGTCCAGGCCTACACTGAACACACTGCGTACGTGCGCTGCCTTCTAGACAACGTCTTTTTCAGAGACGTCCATGGTTATTTATGACAACAAGAAGAAACATTCTACACATGTTAGAACAGCACGGCTGCGTAATCACAGAGGGCAGGTTCTAGACTCCAGAACTGTGTTCCACTGAAAACATGCAGCTGAAGACTTTCACAACAAAGAATGCCGCCATTAAAACTGGATCAGTTTGTGGCGCCTTCAGACGATGTAGTGTTTTTAGAGGGAAGGTGATGCAACGCAGTGGAACAGGCATCAAATCTGGAAAATTTAGCGGTTGAGTGAAGTCAAACCGGAATTTCCAGACACTGTTTCAACTTTTTTGTAATTGAGGTTTATTTTTTTGTGACATCACAAAAACGCTGTGTTCCACATGTGGACATTACAGTATGGTTTGTTTTAAAACTTTACCTGCTGCATGGAATAAAAAAAATCACTCTTCTCTGATATGAGCCCTTCAAAGGTTTTATCTAGAACCATGCATTGAAGCCACAGTGTTCCTGAAAATGCAGAGACGCCTCTCTTTGTAACTTCCTTCGTTCGGAGCTCATGGAAAGAGTCGGAAAAACACAGCCGACAATTCCTGCGTCGGTTTGAATGAGACATCTGTGCCGTCCTGATTGTGAGACAGAGAAAGAGAGAACGGGAAGAGAGAGAGAGACAGAGAGAGAGAGGGAAGTTAAGGAAGAGAGCGGTACAGAATGTGCTGATTACTGAAGGAGTGTAACTCTGAGTGCTGAGGGGCTCTGAGGGGCACTGCAGGCCGAGTCTTCGCGGCTGCTCCTCGTGAGGAGTGAACGGTGCTGCTGATTTTTTGGAGAAGATCATCAGGAGGAGCTTCAGTGTTTCACTCACAGACGGGATTAAACACCCACAGCAGCTCAGATCACTGTGTTCAACAGGAACAGCTTCATCTGCATGTTTCATTCATAATTACCACGCGGATCGTTTACATCACTGTCACTACAGCCGTACTTAAATATCTCATTTTCCGCAGATTTTAGTGCACAGTTTCTGTTTATTTACTGAGTTTAACACACTGGAGAAAAAAGAATAGAACATGAATTATAACATGTGCCATAACTTTTGCACAGGTCGCCTTTTATGTTTAATTATCATCCAATATGCATAATTCAGCAAATAAACAGTGATTGTGCATGAAAATTAACTGAGAATAGCTAACGCTGTTTTGGCTAATGGGGCTAACAGCGCTAACTGAAACAGCTAACACTAACTAACTGTGCTAACTGAAAATAGCTAACGCTGTTTTGGCTAATGGGGCTAACAGCGCTAACTGAAACAGCTAACACTAACTAACTGTGCTAACTGAAAATAGCTAAGGCTGTTTTAGCTAACGGAGCTAACAGCGCTACCTAAAGACAGCTAACACTAACTGTGCTAACTGAAAATAGCTAACGCTGTTTTGGCCACGGAGCTTACAGCGCTAACTGAAAACAGCTAACACTAACTAACTGTGCTAACTGAAAATAGCTAACGCTGTTTTAGCTAACAGAGCTAACAACGCTAAGTGAAAACAGCTAACACTAACTAACTGTGCTAACTGAAAATAGCTAACGCTGTTTTAGCTAACGGAGCTAATAGCACTAACTAAAAACAGCTAACACTAACTAACTGTGCTAACTAAAAAGAGCTAACACTAACTAAGTGTGCTAACTAAAAAGAGCTAACACTAACTAAGTGTGCTAACTAAAAACAGCTAACACTAACTGTGCTAACTAAAAACAGCTAACACTAACTGTGCTAACTAAAAACAGCTAACACTAACTGTGCTAACTAAAAATAGCTAACGATGTTTTAGCTAACAGAGCTAGTAACGCTAATTGAAAACATCTAACAGTGGTTAACTGTGCTTACTGAAAATAGCAAACATGGTTTTAGCGTATGGAGCTAACAATGCTAACTGTAAACATTTCACACTAGCTGCTTATGCTAATTGAAGATAACAGTGCTAACTAAAAACAGCTAACACTTGCTAACTCTGCTAACTGGAAATAGCTAAGATTACCGAACTCTGCTAACCGAGAATGACTGATGTATCTAACTGTGTGGTTTGTAAACTAACGCTCGCTAATAGGTAACTCTTGCTAACTGTCCCGGTGTTGTGAGTGAACGGCTAGACTTCTTTGCCCTCCTTGTCTAAATAATAAAAGACAGACAGCGCCACCTGGTGCACTGAAACAGTACCTAATGTAAGTTGAAGTGTTTGCTGCTGATACCAGCTCTGTCTGTCTGTATGTCTGTCTGTCTGTGTGTCTGTATGTCTGTGTGTCTGTATGTCTGTCTGTCTGTGTGCAGGATGTGTCCCATTTTCCAGATCTCCAATGTGACGGGGGAGAACATGGACCTGCTGAAAATGTTCCTGAACCTGCTCTCCTCACGCAGCACGTTTAAAGACGACGAGCTGGCCGAGTTTCAGATCGACGACACCTACTCCGTACCGGTCAGATAAACAACAAACAAACACAAAAACAACAAAGAAAAAGTCAACAAAAAATAAAAACAATAACAAAAACACACAAAACATTAATAATGAACATTGAGTATAATGTACATGTTTACAGTTCTGGGCAAAAGTCAGAGTTTGTTTATTTTCACTGAAAAGAGCCTTAAAATACAAATTACTGATTTTTCAGAAAACTGGATATAAAATCGATTTAAATGAAGATCTCTCTCTCTCTCTCTCTCTCTCTCTCTCTCTCTCTCTCTCTCTCTCTCTCTCAGGGTGTGGGTACAGTAGTATCAGGGACTACTTTGCGCGGATGGATACGTCTGAACGACACGCTGCTGCTGGGCCCGGACCCCCTGGGGGTCTTCATCCCCCTCACCGTTAAATCCATCCACCGCAAGCGCATGCCGGTGAAGGAGGTGAGGGGGGGGCAGACGGCCTCCTTCGCTCTGAAGAAGATCAAACGCTCGGCCATCAGGAAGGGCATGGTGATGGTGTCCCCCCGCCTCAGCCCACACGCATCATGGGAGTTCGAGGCGGAGATCCTCGTCCTTCATCATCCGACTACAATATCACCCAGATACCAGGCCATGGGTAAGAGAGAGATAATAAACAAATAAACAAACAAATAAACAGGACAGTATCACCCAGATACCAGGCCGGCCTTATTTATTTATTTATCTATTTATTTATGTATTTATTTATTTATTTTTGCTGTCTTGGCTTCTCTCCATTTGTTTCTCCTTTTGCTTTCTCTTTGCCCTCGCATGTCTCTCTCTCTCTGTCTCTCTCTCTCTCTCTCTCCCTCTCTCTCTCTCTCCCTCTCTCTCTCTCTCTCTCTCTGTCTCTCTCTCAGTCCACTGTGGCAGTATCAGACAGACTGCTACTATCCTGTCTATGAGTAAGGAGTGCTTGCGGACGGGTGATAAAGCTACCGTTCACTTCCGCTTCATAAAGACTCCGGAGTATCTGCACACTGACCAGCGGCTCGTCTTCAGGGAGGGACGCACCAAGGCCGTCGGAACCATCACCAAGGTCAGAGGGCACATAGACCCCCTGGGCCTGTCTTCAGAGAGTGTCACGCGGCTTAAAGAACCGCCTACTTTAGCAGGAAGTGGCCGTCCACAGAGCACTGGTTTGGTGTGCAGTGTAGAGGCAGGCTGTCTTCAAAACAGGGCTGCAGCTCGCAGGACACGGATTCATCTCACTGAAAAAACCTGAACACTTCAAAGAAAATGTAAACTAGTCCAGCCCAAATGTTCAGAAGAGCCATTTTATCCTTTCAGCAAAAATCTAACCACCTTGGGAGCCACAACAGTTTATGTCCATTTTACCATCTTGGCTGTAAATATGTCTCAGTATGTGCTGATGAACTAGTGTAGACTAAAAATATAATATAAACGAAAACACAGACTTTAATCTTCAGCTCAGCTACAGCCGCTTTTCTCACATCTCCAGCAGGAAACTTTTCTAAAGTAGAACAGTTTCTTGTAAAATGTCTCTCAGCATTCGACTTTTTACGAGGCTGAAGTCGCTTCTCGTTCACCAGCTGCTTGTTCGATTTTTCCCATTCCACCTTAAACGGTGCCTGAGGTGGCAGAATGTAACTGCAGCACCATTTAAGGTGGAAATAAATTCGTACAAGAATCGGGCGATTGAGAAACTGACTTCAGTTTTTCTCACTGCAGATTAAACGTATCGGGAAACCAGCTGGAGTGATTATAAACACAAGTCCATTCATCTCCAAATTATCGATGTTCATCTTAAATCTCTCTCTTTGCCGTGTCGTTAGCTACCAGCTAGGCGAGACTGTTGTCTGTGTTGCTATGGTGACCAGCAGTCTGCGCTGATCTTCAGGGTTACAGGGTGAATCAGCAGTTCTACATTAACTCCAGAGTTTAAGACCATTTATTGTTAAACTGTGTTGAACGATCAGCAGAGCTTTATTTTACTGTAAAGGAGGATTATTTTATTTTTACCTACTAATCTGATTCAGTTGTGGAGCCACAACAGGGCAGTAAAAGAGCCGCATGTTGCCGACCCCTGATCTAGGCTGTGCAGAGAGCCAATCAGAATAGAAAAAAAAGCTTTAGTAGAGAGTTTATCAGGTTGTCCCCAGATGTGTATTTTCAGTGTGAGATCACATCTGGCTCCATGAGACCAAACAGAACTGAGCCCTGTCCAGTACTTTTCTGAAAGTCCTTGATTTAGTAGATTTAGTCATGCAGCTTTGTGAGGAGTCTCCAGGTGAGTTGGGGTCAGTGTGAGCTTGTGGTTCTCTAAAGTGCTTTTTTGGGTGTTTCTCTTCCTCCAGCTACTGCAGACCAAGCCTCAGGCCAAGACACAGTCAGCCAGGAAAGCTGCATCACAGGGGGAAGCAGCCAATGTGGACGCAGCATCTGCAGGAAGCAGCTTACAGTCTCAGCAGGTGAGACTGCACGACCTGCGAACTCTGACTGTATAGTGTCCCTCTGTAGTTCTACAGTTACAGACTGTAGTCCATCTGTTTCTCTGCATACTGTGTTACCCTGTTCTTCAGTGGTCAGGACCCCCATGGACCCTCACAGAGCAGGTACTATTTGGGTGGTGGATCATTCTCAGCACTGCAGTAACACTGACGTGGTGGTGGTGTGTTAGTGTGTGTTGTGCTGGTACGAGTGGATCAGACACAGCAGTGCTGCTGGAGTGTTTAAACACTGTGTCCACTCACTGTCCACTCTATTAGACGCTCCTACCTTGTCGGTCCACCTTGTAGATGTAAAGTCAGAGACGATAGCTCATCTGCTGCTGCGCAGTTTGTGTTGGTCATCCTCTAGTCCTTCATCAGTGGTCACAGGACGCTGCCCACAGGACTCTGTTGGCTGGATGTTTTTGGTTGGTGGACTATTCTCAGTCCAGCAGTGACACTGAGGTGTTTAAAAACTCCAGCAGCACTGCTGTGTCTGATCCACTTAGACCAGCACAACACACACTAACACACCACCACCACGTCAGTGTTACTGCAGTGCTGAGAATGATCCACCACCCAAATAGTACCTGCGCTGTGAGGGTCCATGGGGGTCCTTACCACTGAAGAACAGGCTGGTTCTGGACCGTGTGTGGGCTGGTTAACGTCTCTGGGGGGGGGCGCGTCCCCCTCAGTTAAAATGGCTGCGTTATTTACAGAAAGCTGCTGAGGGGTGTGTGCAGCCTGGTGGTCCGGCGTGAGTGGGCTCGTCTAGTCTTGTTTCTCTGTTTGTTTCTCTGAATCGTTTTTCTCCTCCGTCTGTTTCAGCTGAAGTCCGCGGCGAGCAGCCGGCGCAGAGGCGGCCAGAGACACCGAGACAGGACGGGGGTGAACAGCAGCAGCTGCACAGCGCCCCCCGCCGCAGGGGTGGGGAACTGCTGATCTCCAGCTTCATCCTCCACTCAACTTCTACCCATCAGTCCCTCATTCTCTCCTCCTTTCTCACTCACTCTCTCCCAGCCCCTCTCTCTCTGCCCTTCGGCGCCTCTTCTCCTCCTCGCTGCTTTTCCTTTTCTGCCCGTTTACCTCTCTTCCTCTCTTTACCCTTCATCTTTTCTCTTCTCTGCTCCTCACTGCTTTACTTCTCTCTCCCTCTTATTCTCAGCTTTCATTCTTTTCTCTCGTTCTTTTCTGCACCAGATGTGTCAGCAGAGGGCGCTCAACACCCTCTAAACACTCTCTCTCTCTCTCTCTCTCTCTCTCTCTCTCTCTCTCTCTCATACACAAACACATTCTCGCTCTCTCTCTCGCTCTCTCTCTCTCGTACACAAACACATTCTCTCTCTCTCTCTATCTTTTTTCTTTATCTCTCTCTCTCTCTCACACACACACACACACACACACACACACATTCTCTCTCTTTCATTATCTCTCTCTCTCTCTCACAGACACACACACACAAACACACACACTCTGTCTCTCTATCTCTTTCTTTCTTTCTGTCTCTCACTCTCTTTCCATCCTTCTCCCCTTTACCAAATATATCTCTCTCGTTTTCTCATCCCCTCTCCATTTCACTCTTTATTTCCTCCCTCTCTCTTGACTCTCTCTCTATTCTCTCCATTTCATTCTCTTTCTCTCTCTCTTTCATTTCTCCCCCCACCTTTTACCAAGTTTCCCTCTTTCTCTAGTTTTCTCTCGACCCTTTACCCTCTCTCTCTCTCTCTCTCTCTCTCTCTCTCTCTCTCTCTCTCTCTCTCTCTCTCTCTCTCTCCCTCTCTCCCTCCCTCTGCCAGTCAGATCAGCAGGAGATGCTTTTTGCTCGTCCACTCTTCATCTTCAGCCACGTTCAGAGACGTCCAGCTGGTTCTATTGCTGCATCATCATCATCATCATCATCTTCTTCATCCTGTGTTTTTCCTCTGAAGAGCCCTTCTTCTCTCCTCCATCACCGTCCTGCAGCCGGCCGCACGTTCGCGTCCCGGAGGACCCAATTAAGAGGCTCTCGTCTGAATTATTGTTTGCGTTAAGCTGATTTCCTGTTCCTCCTCCTCCTCCTCCTCCTCCTCCTCCTCCTCCCCCCTCCTCCCCCTCCTCAGCGTCGGTATATGGAGCAGATGAAAGGACGAGTCCGTTGTGTTGTGCTCGTCAGCTGCAGTCGGCCTCTCACCCCTCCGCGGGTTAACGAGCAACGCGGCTTCGCAAGAGCGCATCTGAAAACGAAATCTCGTCTTTTATTATTTATTATTTATCATTTTAATTCTGTGGCCTTTTGCTTTCTGATTATCTAGCTGGATCTGTTTCTGACGGGGCTTAATTTAGGCCTGTTTTCTGCTCCAGAAAGAGAGAAACACGTCAGAGGCATTCGCCTCACGTCCTGCTCGGGTTCAGGGTTCAGGGTTCAGTCAGGCTTCGTTTGTTTCATCAGTTTCAGCTGATCTGCATTTGTTTTTGAGGTCAGTTCTGACGGTTTGAAGAGATTTTCTTTCTAAAGGCACTTATATTGTCTCATTTTGATTGGACGACTCGAGTCTAAACGAACAAAATGACTTTCACCACTGCCACACTTTAAATCCTGTACACCACTTAAAGGGGAATTCCACTGATATTTCAAAAATTTCTGCAAAATTAAAAAGTTAATGTGTAAACAGGGTCATTCAGAGTGGTTTGGTGTGAAACGCTCCATTCTAGACTCAGAACTGTTCACAGTGGTGGTGATAGGAACCAGACGTCCACCTCTAAAAGCTCCCTCACAGAAAGTTCCTACATGAAATGGTTATGAATTCACTGCCTGACACTGTTTTATGATAGTTTAGAGAACTTAAACTCCATTCATGGTGGAGGGATACATGCAGGGCGCTGTGAGGAAAAACAGTCCCCAAAGAAAACTGATTATTTCAGATTTTCCACTATTTTCCATCATCAACATTCCATATAAACTCAGAAGACTCGTGTAGGTTCACTGGTGGTTCTGGATAGTAAATAAAATGTTTATATTTGTGTTGTCAGTGACTCTGTTTACATTTTAAACACTCAAAATATCTCAAAATATGCAGAAACGGTGAAAAATCAGTGGAATTCGCCTTTAATAAAGTGCTTAACTTTTATATTGTGAACATATGGAAGTTCAGAGATGCTGATTTGAAGTTAAAGCATAATACTTAATGATGCATCATGGGTATTCAATGTGTTTTCACAGACATTTTAGTGCCTTCCTGTGATTTAAAGGATGATCAGGTTCAGAGGAGCCTATGAGGGTTCCTTTGGGAGGTTTTCTGGAGGTTCTTTGGAGCAGAGGTCTTCAAAAGGACCTTTGAATCCAGATTCCAGTCCTGGATTTTGTAATTACCAGTAGTTAACAGAACAGAAATGGAGCTGATTGGCCACTCAGTGGCTACAAAAGCCAGGACCAGCCCAGGACACTGGATTGAAAAGATGCGGGCACCTCCACCTCATCAAGTCCAGATATTTGCTCCAACCAAACTCACACCACTCTCAGGGTTAGAGCCAAAATGTGGACCATCTGGGGGTCCTTGAGGAACCACTGCTCTGGAGAACCTCTCAGTAGACGATACTTAAACAACCTCAGCATTAAAAGGTACTTTAGGGAATGAAAATGTGAATTTTCTCAGATTTTTGCCAAAAACATTTGTGTTTTTTGGAGCTGTTTGTATTTAATAGTGAATCTCAAATGTCCTGCAGTTATTTGGCTCCAGGTTTTTCCTACGTCAGACACTCTTGGCCTATTTCAGAATTAAGCTAACGAAGCTCACCAGCTTTGAGGAGCAATGAAGCTCATCTTTGTATTACATTAGGCGACTTTAATAAGGACAGTTAAACCATTCTGTATGGAAAAATGAGACGTTCCCAGTGTGGAGCGAGTCTTATGTTCAGTGTTGTCGGTTTCTGCCACTGTTTGTAGCTTCTGGCGATCTTCATCAGACCTTCAGAATCCTCTGCTTGGTACCAGCGGTTTGGTTTCTGAGCCCAGACTGAGCCTCATCTCGGACTGAAGAACGCCGTCAATGAAGATTTTCCTTTAAATATTGTTTTTTCTTCAGGATTTGGTTTTATGTTTTGAGTCCATTTCATCAAAGGAAGAACCAGAATGATACAGACCTCTCGATCACTTTAGGGACTGAAGGTCTGGAACGTTTTCTGGTCTGTATTTGATTTCATTCATCATTTGGGTTGAACAAGTGCTAATAAGCTACGCAGACTGGGAGGAGTCAGAGTCTGAGCTGCTGACCACAGATGGTGAGCGGATGTGTCAGTCTTTTCAGTCCTTATTTGAGGTTTTTCAGACTCTTACGTCTTAAGTTTTCAGGTCGTTTTTCGGCCGTTATTGGTTTTATGAGGAAAGTGAGCGGCCGTGTTCTCTCAGTTTGGGTTGGATTTCTCTGATTCGGTTCATGTTTTTATGTTTATGACACTCCTGGTTGTGTAAATGATGTACAAAAGAAGAAAAGAGGCCTTTGGTCTTATATATGCTGGGAAAAAAATGGTTGTAAATTCTTTTAAATAAAAAATCTAAAACATTTCATTGTGTTTGCTTGTTATTTGGTGTAGAGACTGACATCGATGTGAAACTCACAGATGAGCTTTTTAGTGCGAGGCGTGTTTTAAGTGGAACTGATGAGTTTGAACTTTGGCGATTCTAGAGCAGAGCTAGCACTAGCAACCGCTGCTAGCGAGGTGTGAAATGCAAGGGGTCCTGGGGGGTCCGGGACCCCATAATTAACGCTGTAGCAAACTGGTTCACCCAGTAGGTGTGAAGTCATGTTGCAGCTGTTAACTGTAAATATGTTTGGAGTTTGAATAAAGGCCTGAATGTACTGCTATAGTTATTATCTGGTTATTGTTATTATTATTCATGTTTTTGTGATGTCACAAGGATAATCTCATTTACATATATCCGCCTGTTCAGACCTACAGCGGTTTAGCTTCACCCATGATGAAGTCATAAGGAGTGTTTCAGCCAGCCCTGCTTTCTGGATGAGGTACGTTATACAGCAGTTAGTTTCCGGCCGCGCGAGCTGATTGGTTGAGCAGTGTTCTAACTGTGCTGTTATTTCACCATAACATCACAGGTTTTTCACAAACACTGTATCACTCCACTGAGATGCCGTTGCTAAGCAACGACTTTGACAGCTGTAGGAGACGCTCAAGCCATGTTTACTTCTTACTTTGCCACAAACAGAAAACGGACACTTTTAAGATCACATCTGACCGACAGCCGATTTGGTCAGACTCTGAAGATGAGACGACACTAAATTCCCAAACTGTCATCACCACTGAGCAGCTTTTCAGTCGGCAGCTGTGACAGAAGAACAGCTGAACAACCTGGAATCAGCCAGAAATGAACCCAACACCATTCGCCAAACTAAATGGGCTGTAAGATGCTTTACAGACTGGCTGGAACAAAACAACATTAATACTGATCTGGCAAAAACTGACAAAACTGAGCTGAACCTGATATTGCGGCAGTTTTATGGCTCAGTCTGATTTGGACTCTGAAGATCAGACTCCACGTTTGGCGAATGGTATTAGGGTTCATTTCTGGCTGATTCCAGGTTGTTTAGCTGTGATGATCTACGGCGACCAAATCACAGCCGTGATGTTATTTCGCGATAACACACTCCCTCGAGTGTTCTATTGCTTAAAAAAAGAACAGCCAATCAGAGCAGAGCTTATTTACATGTATCAGCCTTAAAGGGACAGTAACAAAGCTGGTTTAACTCTAAGGGATAAGGAGAGGTTGGAAAATGTTCATGTAGGAATGAATTATGACTGTTTTTGGTGCATAAAACATGGAAACACAGAAAGCAATGAGAAAAATGTAGTATATGAGCCCTTTAATGTCACATAAGCGATATTAAAGGGCCCATTTCACAGCTCCACTGCTGTTAGCGGATATGGAGCGCTCTCAGGCTTGAAAACAGAGCTCTCAGGTTTGATGTTTGTGAAAGCGCGGCGGGGCAGGAGGCATAAGGATGCTGTGGCCTGTGGTCTGTCCGTATTGTTCGTTTTTCTCCTCCGAATCTGGCTCAGCGAGGGGTGGAATGGAGTCCTGTCAAGCAGAGAAGCATCAATAAATGATCTTCAGGCGACTGAGGGGCGCAGCATGGTCCAGAGTTTTCCCTCACGCTGCCCTTTAATCCGTAACAGTCCAACAGCTTTTATTGCTCGTCCAGCAAAAGCAGCAACATGTAATGTAGCCTCAGACAAGCTGCTGTGATTCTCTCTATTATGGTGATGTCTTACTGTAAATCAGTGACCGAGTCAGAAACTCGTAATCA